TGCTGTTTGTGCTTCTTGCGAAGGGGTTAAAACACAGGACTCTGAGGACTTGCATTCCTCAGAGTGGGCCCCCTCGATGTATCGACAGAGTCTATTTCCACTCCCAGGGTGATTGTTCCTTTTTCACAATCTTACAGAGTTACAGAAGATGTCCTGTTCTAACAGGTCTCTACGTCAAAGTTGATAAACTATTTGCCTACATTCACACAATTAATATGATAAGAAATTTACATTTTCATTCTAACACAGTGGCAAGTGGAAATTTATTAACCACGTTACAGAGCCCGGATTCGGGCCAGAATGGAGGCACTGGGACTGAACCTGATACGTGCTGGTGTTACGCCCTCTGCCAGGTGGCGGTGCATTTACGGCTGTGTCCGGGGGAACCAATTACAATTGCAAAACCAATTGTAATTGCAATTCTTACATTCGGCCAGGAGATGGCAGCAAGAAAATAGAAAAAAAAATTCCCACGGTTATTAAGATAATTCACAACGTAAATTTATTGTGTATCTGTGTGTGTTTCACTACACTTTGGGGACAATTTTATCAAATGTGATCTATGCAAACCCACACACACAGTGCCCAGTTACAGCGCGCACACACACCCATACACAAACACACACACTGTATTAATGAGAGAGAACTACCTGTATCTACCATTGCCAAAAACTGCTGCCCCCCTGATGGTGATTGGTAATGTGAGCGCTTTGGAAGTAATGGGCACCCTTCCTTGCATCTGTAAGGTGTTTTTATGGCTAACCTTACTAGAAGTTCGTTTATGTTGTTGGTCAGCTCTTGGGTGGTTGAACTGATTATGATAGCGTTTGACGTCCTGCCAATCCCATTCAATCAGTGTTCCCACTCTCACTAACTCTTGCACAGTTTTAACAGTGCCTCTCAGTAGGCTTGTCAGATGGGGATTACAATTACACAGAATAGCATGTACCACATCCTTCTCTGTCATGTCATTCTTCCATCGCAGACACAGTGCCCTGTACTGGAAAGCAAAGTTCCGTAACTTTGCTTTGCATTTTCCAAATGGTCTCTTGGGGCCCTTGTTTTCTCTCATGGATTCTTCTCTCTGCTTCTGCTTCATAATCTTCGGAAAGAAAAGATCTTAGGAAAGCATCCTTAAATTGACTCCATGTTCCAATGGCTCTTCTCTCTCCCAACCACCAATCTTTAGCAGTAACTGACAGAACAGATGACATTGTAGCTAGTACTTCCACATCACTCATTGGTCTAACAGCTAAAAATTCTTCACACCTCTCAATATATGCCACTGGATCTTCATCTGATTCCTGGCCAAAATGTGGAGACTCAATCTTAATGGGCATTTTAAAATGATGTCCTTGGCAGCCAGATGGATGGGAATGACAAAAAGACGGGGAAACCTGGACAGGTGTAGAAGATGGCGGAACACGTGTCTGTATTAAAGCCTTCAATTGTCCATCTCTCCTCTGTAAACAATCCATAATTGACTGACCTAGCTCTTACATCTGTAAGTCCACAAGTTGTTTTACTCTACCTCCGTACTCAATCTGTACTCAGATCTTTCTTCCATTGCCTTTGCCTTGTCCTCCACTCCATACCTGGCAAGCGTCTAGAGGAGTTCGAAAAGTGCTGAAGTCAGAGTTGATTTTCTCCACCAACGATTCCACTACCTGCAACCAGGTTAACATCTCCTGCAACTGCTCTGGAGAAAAAGGGGCAAGAGGTGCTTTTCCCTTAGGAGGCAGTTGAGCATGCTCCCCTGATCCCTCACCCTCTTCTTCAGACACATAAAGATTACTTAAAGATTGGATAATATCCTGCAAAGGTTCTTGTCGAGTCACAAATGGACCAGCTGTGAAGTCTGGGTCATGGAACTCATCCCGTGTCTCTAACACAGATAAATGTAAGGTAATCCATGCAGGGAGCAGAAATATAAAGTATAGATATTTTATGGGTTCCACTGAAATAAAGGTAGCTGATTACGAGAAAGATCGCGGTGTGTATGTTGATGCTTCCATGTCCCACTCTCGCCAGTGTGGGGAAGCAATAAAGGCCAATAGGATGTTGGGTTATATATCTAGGTGTGTGGAGATTAAGTCAAGGGAGGTGATGTTACATTTATATAATTCCTTGGTAAGACCCCACCTAGAATATTGTGTGCAGGTTTGGTCACCATACCTTAAGAAGGACATTGCTGCCTTAGAAATGGTGCAATGGAGGGCTACGAGAATGATTCCTAATCTTAGAGGAATGTCTTATGAGGAGAGGTTAGCTGAGCTGAATCTGTTCAGCCTCGAGCAAAGGAGACTAAGGGGGGACATGATCCAGGTCTATAAGATTCTAACGGGTCTGGATGCTGTTCAGCCAAATGGCTACTTAGTTTAAATACTAGAACTCGTGGCCATAGGTGGAAATTAGCAGGAGATCATTTTAAACTGAATTTCAGAAAACACTTCTTTACACAGCATGTAGCTAGAGTATGGAATAGTCTTCCTGCTAATGTAGTGCAAGCTAAAACCCTGGGTTCCTTTAAATCAGAGCTAGATAAGAGTTTAACAACTCTCGAGCTATTAGTTAAGTTCTCCCCAAACGAGCTTGATGGGCCGAATGGCCTCCTCTCTTTTGTAAATTTCTTATGTTCTTTCTTATGTTCTACTTCAGGGCTGCTGCTAGTCATGGCAACACCACTACTAATGCAAGATACAATGAATTGTTAAACCCTGGTCCCTGTTCAGGCACCACTTATGTAACACTGCTGATTCCTGCCTCAGAACCAACCTATTACACACTATACGTAGGGAGGGACATTTCAGGGTGGCATAACAGTGCCCTGCTACACACACACACACACCCACACACACACACACACAAACACAGACACACACAGCCCCCGGTTAGAGCTCACACAAACAGGTGGGTGTTACCTACCTCCTACCTATCAAAAGGTAGCTAATTAAAACATCCAATGCAGTTTGTACAGATTATATAATTGCAGTTACTGAATAGTGTGAGACCTGCGATGGACTGACATCCCACCCAGGCTGAGCCCTGCCTTCTGCCCTCTGCTGCCTGGGACAGACTGCAGGGTTCCCGACACCCTGTAGCGGAAAAGCAGCAATGGAGGGTGGAGACACTGAGTGACTGCAGTCTGCCTGTCATCTTATGAGTTTGTATAAATTTTTCATTTCAAAACATTTTAGTTTTTTTTTTTCCCCTCATTGCAAAACTTTAGCTTGACCACGAGATGGCAGCAAGAAAATAGAAAAATAATATTTCCAAGGTTATTACGATAATTCACATGGTAAATTTATTGTGTATGTGTTTGCCTTGTGCCATGTTAAATGATATTACTTAATGTGTGTTTGATTAGTTCCCTATACAGCACTGTCCTGAGCCTGGCGTCTAGCTTTCCTTCTCTGTATTCTCTCTTCCTCTTCATTAACGGTCCTGAGCGTTATACTGCAAAGTGGGTTTGCTCAAAATACTTACGAATTTTCCATGCTGTCGATCATAGCTCAGTTCTGCATAGAGTATATTACCTCGGTCATTTACACTGCACATCTAGCCTGCTCAGAGTGGGTTCTATTAGTTAAGTTCTCCCCAAACGAGCTTGATGGGCCGAATGGCCTCCTCTCATTTGTAAATTTCTTATATAACCTTTCTATAAACTTTTGACCTGGTATGTTCTACAGGCAGGAACACCAAGGTACCCGATGACAGCAACTGTCCAACGACTCCAACACAAAAGTAGATTTCATGCACATTACTGTGCCTCAAATGATTCAATTTCAGTAAAAAAAAAATAAAAAATGTTCATGTTTTGCAAACCTGTAAACGGCCTGAGGACACAAACCTATGTGAAGTAGTCAAGTGATGCGAGGCGAGGTAGGGGGGTTTAATAAAAAATTAAAAAAAGGCCCAAGATTAACAAAATTTTATTACAATAAAATTTTACAACCATTCAGAAATAATTCACAAGCCATTTCAAGCCTGTAACGAGCAAAGCTAAATGAGGTGAGTATGTGTTTCAAGGTTACAGCACGGAGAACGGTGTTCAGCAGCCCAAACCAGGTTGGGGACACGGAATCGCTATTTCTGGGGAACCGCGCTCACGTTTACCTGGATAACGGCCGGGCCGACGCCTTCAGAAACATCACGAATTACTTACTACACTTTATCTCTTTAAAAAAAAAAAGAGGAAAAAAAACAACAATGGAAAAAAAACACGGGGAAGCGATTCATATATAAAAACTGACTGTGCTTGTTGAAATAAAAACCAGTAAGCAAAACGAGACCTGATGCGTGATTCCATGTTTCTATCCCGATGAAGTGGACTGATGAACAAGTCGTTACTGTCTGGCAATTAAAAAACACAAGCCTAGGGGATTGGGAAAGAAAAAAAAAAAGTTGGAGGTCTCCAAACCTAAGTCTCAGTATCGCCCTCCCTGAGACATTACAGGGGGGTGCATGGTCATAGGTGGTCTTGGTGGTCCTCCCTGATAAGGGGGGACCATCGGGGGGCCCTGTCCATATGGGGGCATCCCACCTGGCATATAACCCGGTAGTCCTTGTGGTGGAGCCCCATACTGACCTGCAACAAAGAGGGCGAAATGTCACATAGCATCATTCCGGCCTGGCACTGACTATAAAAAGCAGGGGGCAGAGAGAAGGATGGCGATGACGTACCGTGGATTGGGGGCCTCATTCCGGGCTGCTGCGGGGGCATCATGGCCCCCATCGGCGGGGCTGCCATGTGTGCCGGGCCCGGCCTAGGGATGTTACGTTGGTACCTAGGCAGCTGGGCCCGCATCTCCTCCTACCGGGGACAGAACCAAAAACAGACAGATGCTGAGATACTAGCAGGATCGCAAAGTGAAATACTGGAAGACTGGAGGGATTGGGGGGGGGGGGGGGCGGTGAATGAAACATCAGGATTATTCACTAGGCAACTGACATTACAGGTACATTACTTACGGTTAAAGCGTAAAATGTAAGGCGAATAAGGCCGTGTGAAACTTACCAGTGAGATATCCTCATCAGGGTGGATCAACTTACTGGTTGCACTCGTGGTAGTGAGGGTGGCAGGCTTACTTGTCACAGTGGCTGGCGGCTTGGACACTGTGCTACCAGCATTAGCGGCCGAGGGGCTGGACTGCGAGTACGCCGGGAAGGTGGCTTTCGGCGGGTCGGCGGACGCCGCGACTGCGCCCGTGCCCAGGGGCTTGAAGTCTGTGCCGACCGGGGCCGACGCCGCCTGCTGCGCCTGAGAAGGGGGAGGGGCACAGGATGAGCCAGCCAATGGACTTTCAGGCACCCGAATGCCGCTCCTGAGAAGGACGGCGCCCTTGCACTGCCACAGTGACGCACACTAATCTGTATATCTGGGGCTACTCTGTACGGGCGAATTTTGAAGGTGGTTTGAGTCACTCCCTACAGGATAACAGTGTGAAAACGACAAGGGAAAAGTACGCAGATGCACCAGGTGATATAGACGCCACATAACGGCTTCTGTTTACGGCACTGTGTTTCCTACGGGAAAACCTGCTACGCGACAGAATGGCGACATTTGCGCATCACAGGCTCGTGCCACTAGGGGAGCTCTTGCTCGGTTCACAAAACTGAGCTTCCCGCCTTCTTAGGCTGTGCAGGGGAGACGCTGTCTTAGCAGGTGCTGACAGACAGTAGCTGGAACGCGAGACCCTTCGTGCAGCGCGAACAGTCTCAGCCCGACCGACTGGCGCGTGCCGACCACACGCAACGGGGGCGAGGGATCCATATCATCCCCAAAGGCTTCGTGACTCATATGCCAAGAAACTATCCTGACGCCAAGTGGGCAACCAGCACCTCTGTCTGAACAACAAAACTATCAAACATGTTCAGACACTGTCACACAAAACAGACATAATCTGCACCCCAGGCAACCGAGTCAACGCGAGTGCGAGGGCACGTTCAGGGAGCACAAGCTCATATTACATACCTGTACTTGTCCTGCACTGGGGAACAGCGGCTTTGTGACAGCAGGTGGGGCCGTTGTTGTCGTGACTACAGGCCCAGCAGGCCTACTGAGCATGCCCTGAGCTGTGACAGGGGGCCCGGGGGCCATATGGCGATTCGCTGCCCTGTGGTCCATGGGAGGCGGCATACCTGAGTGGGGAGAAGAGGCCACATGAAGAGAGAGAACTACAAACATGGAGATCTAACAGGCTGAGTGAGAACAGGCAGGACTCACCTGGCGGCATGCCTGGCATCATCGTGGGCATCCCAGGTCCATGGTGCATCAGGCCACCCATATGCATCATCCTTAAGATTCAGAAAGACCAAACTATTTAATACACCAGCAGGAAAAAGGCACGCAGCCTGTGCATACCACAGCAGAAGACCTACCCGGGGGGCATGCCTGGCATTACAGGGGGCATTCCTGGCATCATGGGCGGCACGCCTGGCATCAGGGGGGGCATAGCTGCACAGAAAGCAGGGCAAGAGGGTTATTTAGCCATTTTTACAGGCACATATAGGAAGAATGAAGCGATAGATGATGCCGTACCCGTGTAACCCCCGGGGTGCATGCCCGGGGCGCCGTGGACAGGGGACACCCCCGGCTGGGTCATTGGCGGTATGTAGCTGGGTTGGGGCTGTGTGACGGGCGTCTGGAATGAGGGCCCAGGCTCGTCATCCTCATAATCGTCCGAGTCGTCCTGGTTGTTCTGTTTCTTCTTCTGACTCTCCGCTGCAAAACAGGGCACAGCATCCTTTTAAAAGGAGAGCTCCAACACGGACGGCAGGGGGTCACCGTCCAGCCCCTGATCTGGAGTCAGCCCTGTCAGGGGACACTTGTGGAATCGCAGGTACCTTGAGTTTTTTGTTCCAGCACACGCCTTCGCTCATCCATATCCTTCTCTGGAATTCCTTCCATGCCATAGATCTCCAGTTCGATGTCAGTCCTCCCCGGTATTGCATTAGGGACCCCGTCTATGGTTTCCTTATGGACCTGTGTACCGGCACACATGATCAGTCTCACAATATCAGCAGGAAAAACAACAAGCCACAACGCGGAGTTACCGTACCTGCATACAGTGGATGGCTAAACCAGGTCCCGTATATAGCTTCTTGTGGCATATGTGACATTTGAAATGCTTTGCCTTTTGGTGTTGGATAAGAATCTTCTCATCGTCGAAATCCCGGTTGCAGTACCTTATTGTTCCAAATTAAGGTTAAAAATATGCGCGTATAAAATCATACTGTATACTTACACGCCACGTGACTGCGATGATCGCTTTAACTATAACCTGATATAGTAAGACGGGCTGCTGAAATGCACCTAGTGCTCCGAACATACAGCGCCTATAATTTGTAGGACGAAATTGCGTGATACACCGGAAACATTAGATCTTTCGTTTCATATAAACATCTTACTCAAAACGGTTGACGGTAAACACGAAAACTACATGTACCACAGTTTAAAAAAATGCGTGAAGACTATAGTTAACGCCTAGTTAAGACAATTAATCAGCTAGCTCATCGCTATCTCATACAATGGAAGGAATCGTGTACTCCATTTGCTGAACGACTTATAAATGCATAGGGTACAAGTACACAAGAAGCTGTCGAAATTCCCTTTAAATTTTAGTACCCCTAAACAAATACCTATGCAATTTAGCCACCTCGCTGTCCGCATAAGGCGCCTATCTGGCCTAACAAACAGTATCTACTAAACATAGTACAGCAATGCGAGCTATACCCAGCTTCTATACAAAGGATACCAGCACCACGGCTTCATCTGCTTCTTCTTTTTGCGTCCCATGCTTTTTAATTATCGCTCTTTAAGAGAGGAGAAACAGGAAGATATAAATATAAAAACGAGTCGACCACTGCAGAAGATGGCGTATAGTTAACTGGAAGCTAATAACACAACGGATGCCGGGCTTACCCACAATGCACTCCGCGCAAGAGGGCGTCACGCATGTGCAGAACCAAAGGCGATTTTTTTTTTCCTTAAATGTGTTTCTCATATGACAAATACATTTAAGACAACTATACACAAGCACGTGTGTGTTGAGAATAATAATAATAATAATAATAATAATAATAATAATAATAATAAATAATAATAATAATATAAATCAAGTTAAATACCTACATCGCATGTAAAACTAGTGACGAGTTTCCTACGCTGTTTATAAGTACTAGAACATGTTATCATAATTATTATTAAAATACTGTGTGCTCTACTGAGTCTGTTCTGGATCCATTGAACGCCTTGCACTATGATTTGAAAGTCTGTAAATTATCAGGAATCAATGTAAGATAAGGTGTGTTGAACACGGATGTTTTAAGAGACGGACCACAGCGGGCACAGATGATCATACGTCGCCAGTTAACGTCTCTGAAGAGTAACTACAATACAGTAATAATTTATTCACTGACATAAAAATGTTTACTTCGCAGACGTCTTCTTTTCAAGACTCAATTGACGTGGAAGAAAAGGAAACGGATTTTGACAATGAAGAAATATCACAACAAATAAACTGTTATTATGCCGTCTATTTTTATGAAACCACAAGGTATCGACAATTTTTATTTTACTATACGATAACGGAACCACTTGCATTAATTGCAGCTGAATATAAACATGTTTGACAAGTTAGAAATATTATGAATGATTCATTCAAAGAGGTGCTATTGTCACTAATGACGGAAATATTACTCATCCATCGGTGTCGATACGGTCTTTGGTTATTAGCTGGAAATGTAAACTTTCTGTTCAGCAATTGCATCCGTGCGATGTGGCTTTTAAAAAGTAGCTCTCAAATCTGCTCTTTTGATCCGGGCGTTTCGTTCGAATTGAATACAAAGTTACTGGAGTATGGGAACGTTTTACTAGCAAATGACCCATATAATTAAATTTACGTGAAATGTGCCGTTTAGATCGGAGTCGGCAGAGGAGAACGAGACTAAGAGCCACCGAAGGACAGAGTCTACGGCGAGCCAGGATGACGGCAGGTAGAGATCGATGATCGCAGTTATCGGTCCATTATGTGCATTACGACAATCACTAGTAATCATACTGTGCACGAGCGTCACTAGAGATTTATGAAAAGGGGGCAAAGCCTTTACTATGGGGTCTTATCATAATGAAGACGAACGAGAACACGCTATTGAAACTAATAAGTGTACATTTATTGGGGGGGGGGGGTTGCCCTGTTCCCCACACTGTCAAAAACAATCATTTGTCACAGGGGTTGTACCCCTCATGGGTCTGGTAATTGTAACTTAGGTATAGATAAATTAGATAAATGTACCTTTTAAGGTACAGAAATGGACTCAGGAATATTTTTGTACCATTGGGGGGACATTAGTGTTGTTTGTACCTTGGGGAACAAAATTGTACTAGGGCTCAACACTTTTGCTGACAGTACAATGCACGAGCAAAAATGTTGTAATATATTATCGGTGTAAGTTCCGAGATTATGACTATTATTTATGTATGCCCCGTTTGACTTGCTGAATTTGCCCTTGTTCATGCACCCGCCCCTCCCCCGCCGGCTCCGGCCACCCCAGTCTCTCCCTTGTGGATACCAGTTTGCCTTCAGAAGCTGAGCCTGAGCTACGCAGCTATATCTCCAGGCGGCTGAGCAAGGGCGCCCTCCTCGGAGGCATGGGCAACATCGCCACGGTGGAACTCAGGTGACGTCATAACACCTGATGCAGTGTCGCTTTAGCTCGGAATATCATCTCTGAGAGCCCTGCTCAGACAGCAGTAGAGCAGTTCTCTCTGAGACTTGAGCAGGCGGGTTTTGTACAAAGGGTGTTTTTTCTGTGGGGCGGGTTTCAGTGTGCCGGAGGAGGCGGTGGGCTGTTACTGCTGCCTACTGGAGAAAGGCGAGGGGCAGGACGGCGACGGCTACGTGGTCTGCTTGCTGGGGGGGTGCGAGAGGGGCCTTAATTTATATCCTTTCTCAGAGTGACAGCTTTGGACGTACGAAACAGAACCGATGGTCAGTAGGTCTATAGCAGCTTGTACATTGAAATCGCAGACGGCTGTAGGCGGAACGTTGATGGTAAACTGAGGTTCTGCTGGTACTTCCTGTGACCTTAACTGAGTGCACATTCAGACTGGAGCTGGACAAGTATGTGCAAGGGCTACAAAGCTGCCTGTGCCCTGAGGTAGGTGCTCCGGTGTCCCGGAAGGTCAAAACACAGTGGTCTACCATGGAGATCTTGTCTCCTTTTTAAAGATTGATGCACCACAGCCTTGTGAACAATGTCATTCTCCACACCCTAAAAAAAATGATAGTAACCCTACACTGATAGCATACACAGTGTCTCAGAGCTGTACAGCTGTGCCATCATAAGGGATTCGTGTCACCAGATCTCACGTCAATTTCCCAGCTGCAGAATCTGGAGACGGAGATCAGGCCCTACCTAAGCCGCTGGTACGAAGAGTCCGTCATGCACATTTACAGGGTGGTGCAGCTGATGCAGGGGGACGTGGCCTATCTGCTCCATGCCGTGAGTGACCTTTGACCTCGTCGGCCCGCATGCAGCACGTAGAGCCAATCAGGAAGCGGCAGACTGGCCTCCACATTCTATGACATTACATGGTTAATTTCCTGTTGCCCGCCTTTCTGTCATCTGTTGTTAATCTGCTAAATGAACAGTAGTCTGCTGTCACTTGTCACATATCAAGTGAGTACCCAGGCAGGCTGTCACTGTCCCTGCGATCGTGAGGGGAGCTGCTGTCAGACAGCGCGCACGTCCCACTAGGTGCAGTGTGGCGCATAACAGGCCTGGCCTGGGTCTCTCAATGTTGAAGGCACTGAGTCACACAAACGTGGATGTCATCGGCGCGGACGAGAGAACCAAGGCGGACATCACCAGGTGAGCGGAGATGCCGCCGTCTCTCACACACACGTTTCGATCCATATCTTTGTGGGGACTTGTCCATTCATTTCTATGGGCAAAACCCTAATCCCAGCTATGACGACCTTAACCATAAGCAACCAAACAAAATAAAAGACTTTCGACAATTTAAGTTTTCAATCGCAGATATGAAATTGAGGTTATACTTGTGAGGAAGGAAAAATGTCCCCACAAGGTAAAAAGTTACAAAAACAAACACGGGGAAATACGGTCCCCACAATGTAATAATTACAAACACACACACACACAGGGTTCATGTTCCAATTTTTTAAAGGCCCCTGTTGTGCCCCATGAATAGCAGTGTCCGCATACAACTATGAGACAGCAGGGGGAGCCAGAGACCTATAAATGTGTTTACGAGTCCATGTGAAATTATAGGGGTAGGAAAGCTTCAGTATCCCCCCCCCCAACCCAACCCCCACTGCAGGTTCATCAAGGCGGCCAGTCTGCAGGGCCTGGCCCCAGAAGAGGCCAGCACAGCCTCCCTCTGCAAGTCCGCCCCGGGGGACCTGCAGTCCAACCTGCTGGTAGACTGCTCCCGCACCCCCCTGCTTTTCACCAACGCAGGTGAGCCCGCCCCCCCCCCCCGATCGCTGCTCACGTCGCCAGCCCGCGTCTCTAAGCACCCGTCTGACCAGCCACTCATTTCCTCCGCAGTCAACAACCGCTTCTGCGACGACTGGATCCAGGCGTTCCTGAATGCGGCGGAGCGTAGCAACCCCTTCCTGCTGAGACAGATCCTGGAGAACTTCAAGCTGAAGGTGCGTGTCGGCCGGCCGGCCGCCCGCAGCCTCACTGGGTAGACTGGTGCGGCGGGTACAGCTGCACGTTCACGTGCCGGAGAAGGAGTCTCATGTTGCGTCAGAAGCCTCAATTCATTATTCAGAGTCAATTCATAATTCATTTGAATAGATGGCATCACGTGGTTGGAAACCAACCTGCAAGACTCCCAGCTAAACATATCTAAGCAGTGAACATATCTAAGGAGATTTTACACGTTTGCCGTGAGCCCACAGCCTGAGAGTTCGATACCCCCCTCCCTCCACGCCCCTGCTTGATGCACTGTCGCCACCTGCAGGCCATCCAGGACATGAACAACCTGAAGCGATTCATCCGTCAGGCTGAGATGAGCCACTACGCCCTGTTCCGCTGCTGCCTGTTCCTGCAGGCCTGCGGCAACGGGGACGTGCTGCTGCGCAACGCACGTGCCGAGCACAGCGGCCTGCCCGAGGCCTGCGACATCATCCGCGTGCTGGAGGAGTTCCTGAGCGAGCAGGCACAGGGCGCCCCCTACTGAGCGGCCAGGGGAAGCACGTTTTATGGGCACATCCCAGCACCAGGGAACTGCTGCAATCTCCTCAATATCTCAGTAAAATATGTATTATATTTATTTGTGTATTTAAAGTCGTCAAAGAGATTGCCGTGTGTGTAATCTAAATTAATCTGACACTGACAAGATGGTGACTCTCACTACTGCATGTAACCGTGTTCCGCAGCAGAAAGACAGGCAGCCCAGGTGTCTCTTGCTCTTGGTAAAAACGCTTCTGCACAGACAGGTTGGCCCAGTCCACCAGAAACTGGAACATTCTGTCGCTAAGCGCCAGTTTTCACAACGTTCCATTTTACTGCAGTTTGCTAAATCGCATATAGAGACTGATCACGTGGTGCTGGGCATTAGTTCCTCAGGGGAGCATCATTCTGATTTTTATTATTAACTTTCTTAGTTTTGTGTGCAAAATAAATGTGACAACACAACCTTTCATATGTAAAATATCTGTATTGTAGCAAATCGTCCCTCAATATGAAATCTATAGACAAAGTTATATTGTACTTGAAACACACATCTAATGTGATCCCTGTGGCAGGGATTCCTTGGCTTGCTTGTATTCAGTTTTGATTTATCTTTGTATGTAAATGTCACACACGCCCTGTACAGATTTGTGTCACGCTGTGCAGATTTGGCTGTGAAATGCTTGTTCTTTATTTACAGGAAATCCCGTGCACTACAGTTTTCTTTCTGAAGGAATAATGAAGCTGTTGTATATTATAGTAGCAGGAACCATATAAAAACCTACAGTTTCGCGATTACTGAAAGGTTCACGTTTACAGCATTTATTTTGGCATGATTTGTTTTCCCTGTGGTGATTTAATTCACACGTGGCTCTCCTCCGCCAGCGAGAAATGTTTAGACGTGAAGTCCTGTGACAAGTTCCCGAAGGCGGGGGGGAGCAGAGCCCCCAGCGTGACGGACGAGCCTCAAATTGAGGGAATTCCCCAGCCCCCGCTGTGCCCTCTGCACCTCCTCTGCTTCCTGTTAGTTTCTGTCGCCTTGTCAGTCATGAAGGAACAGTAATAAAAACAAACCATCCGTCTCTGGTCTTGTTACATTCTTCAAACCAATACAATTATTTTAAATGTGTCACTGTACACCATGGAGAGGATATATGCAAAGTCCCAGAGAACTGCAACCCTAGCGCTCAAAAAGAAAGATAATATGTCTTGCAGCATAAGAAACACACCCAAATAAAGTAGTTAAAAATAAAAATATTACAGCCAATAACTAATATTTCAGATCATCAACATAGATCAGTAAAGGTTTTATGGGGTATTAAATGGTGCTGATTCCCCTGTAATTCAGCCCCATAATTATTTGGACACATTAAGTAAAACCTTGAAGGTTATACTCTGATAGAACTGAAGCACTGGATTATTCTCATTCAGGGTCTGAGCTGATCTGCTATTCCCCCAGTCCTCCCCACCCTTGTCTGACCACAGTGTCCCCTTCCTGCCAGTCAGGAATCTGAATATCTTCTTCTGTCCCCAACCACCTGATCGTACAGAAAGGTGTCATGTGGTGACCTTTCCTCGTCACAGATGTCATCTGCAACAAAAGCCATATCCAGTAGGTACAGGTCAGTCTTCCAAGGATGTAGGGTTTTTAAATTGCCTGCCATTGGCTCATGGGAGTTTTAGTTACACAAATATGTCCCGATGGCAGAATGAAAAGTGAAAAATAACCAATCAGATTGTAGAGGAGGAGGGCCCAACCAATTAGATATCTTGGTCCCGCCGCCTTTACAGTCTGACTGGTTATCTCTCTGAACCAATCCTTTTCCATTCTGTCCTCAGAACCTTTTTGTGTAAGTAAAACTCCCATGAGGCTGATATTGTTTACAGCCAAAAGCAGTTTACAAGCAGTTTTATCTGCTTCCAAGCAGGTTAAGTTGTCTGCTAACATACACTTTGCAGTTGTATCTGTTCGTCATTTTTCTAGGAGTGGGAAGAACGTCACATGAGTGTCATGTACAGGAGAGTATGTTTTCTCTACATCTTACCAAGGCTCTGTGCAGACATGGTCCACAGCAGAGGTTTTGGGACGTCGTAAATGCCCTCTGTGGATTGTAGGCATCGTAAAGTTGGTACAAAAAGAGAAAAACAAAATAAGAGGAAAAGGTCAGTGTATAAGCTGGCCTGAGGGTAGCGACTGCATTTTTGTTATCGTCTCAAAAAGAAACCAGCAGTCTGTTCAGGCCACGGTTATTATCGTTATCGAAAAGTATAAGAACACATGTTCATAGAAACAAGATAGAAAAACAAGAAATTACAACTAAATGCAAACTAAATATTGCCTCCAACCTTAACTGAAATAAAATACAAATACTTTCCATTACTGTTTTAAATGTAAAGTAATGATTTGTTTCTTTAGTTACCATTAATAATGCCAGGAACCCAATTCCTTCGCTGTATCTGCCTGTTTTCATCTACATACCAGTCAAAAGTTTCTGCACACACTGAGATTTTCTACATTTGCATGTACCTCACTTCACATTTACTAAAAATACACTCAATATTCTTTGCTGACAAATAAATTTACAGTATGTTCACCATTTGAGTACCTTTATTAGCAAGAAAATGTCATTTTGTTGATTAATCATAAGAAAATAAGAAATTTACAAACGAGAGGAGGCCATTCGGCCCATCAAGCTCGTTTGGGAAGAACTTAACTAATAGCTCAGACTTGTTAAAATCTTATCTAGCTCTGATTTAAAGGAACCCAGGGTTTTAGCTTCCGCTACACTAGCAGGAAGACTATTCCATACTCTAACTACACGCTGTGTAAAGAAGTGCTTCCTCAAATTCGTTTTAAAATGTTCTCCCGCTAATTTCCACCTATGGCCACGAGTTCTAACCTTTGACTTGTAGTGTAGGATTGTCTAAAGATCAGACACTTTAAACAGCCATACAAGAAATAAAAAAAAAACTGGAACTGAAGTATATAAAAATAAATAGAAATACATATTTTTAATTAATAAAACCGCACTGAAAACTAATTAAACTAAAACTCCACTCAGCAGCCCCCTGCTGTGAAAGCTGCTCCTGTCTGAACGGGGAGCCAGCCTGCATGTTGTCAGAAGTCCCACCTGACCAGAAGTTGTTCACCTTCCTGTAAGATACTGGGACGTCATAGATGGCTTCTGCCTCCTCGTCCTCCCTGGCGGTGACAGCATTGCCCTTTGTGTCTGCAGAGAAACCACACGCCAGCTCGGTGAGCTCGTACAAATACAAGTCGAGGAAAAAGTACACAAGGAGGTTTATCAGGATGTACCCGTTCACTGTCTTTTGAAAACATATTTTTTACATTTTAGTACATTTCAGTAGTCCTAGGTAACTAGGGTGATATTAACATTAGTGACACATGGATGATTATAGGAGTCTGACCAACAGAGTCTAGCTAGTAAGAGAAGTTTTGGTAGCAGTGTAGTAAGCGAAAAGTAAAAACAGAGGTGGAGTTGCACTCTGGCAAGGTGCAATTTGGACATGAGGAGGCGGAGCTGGTCTCTATATTTACACCCTCTTAATGTTTAAACCCTGCGGCAAGCATTTAGACACTCCTGCCCTGTGACACAATGTGGAGAATTAAGGAGAGATCGCACGAGAGAGCCCCCGGCAGAGAGTGGAGGTCATAAGCATATACCTGCTCTGTGTAACGGCGTGTCGTAGTTGCTTTCTACTGCCTCTTCATAGTCCGGCTTACAGTAAGTGCTTTCGTAGACACCTGAAGATGAAGATAGCCCTGTANGTAACGGCGTGTCGTAGTTGCTTTCTACTGCCTCTTCATAGTCCGGCTTACAGTAAGTGCTTTCGTAGACACCTGAAGATGAAGATAGCCCTGTAAATGCCCAGCATGTACCAAGTACCACACACTTTGGAGAGATTCTGCAGCCAGCCCTGGACTGTCCTCTGTATTTTTCCAGATGTGCTTGCAAACTACTGTCATTCATGTCGTGAAATGATTAAACCTGCCAGGATTTTTCTCCACCTAAAAACAGGTCCAATTTTGCCCAGCATCACTGCTGCGATCTACACACACAGAATCTGTAAAAGGCTCAAGCATCTTCTAATTCTGCTGTCGACCAGCTTAATTTCTCAGTATTTAGCTGAAATCTATGTCATACTCTGCTTACTTGTCCCCGGTGCTACAGTTTCATAATAAGAATTGTTTCGGTCACATGATCGTCCTCCTTCCTCTTGGCCACAGAATTCCAGCTTGTTGTTATGGTACATCACTTCTGATTCTGGGGGCAACATGTGGAGTTAGAAGGACAAATAATTTTTTTTATAAAATTAGTGTACAGTTCTCCCCCGGATAGAGTTGAAAGTATAACTAATTAAGAAAACGGATGTGTTCTTCGTACCCAGTGTGTGTCTTTTGCTGGTTCCCGTCGAGTCCCAATGTCCAAAAGTGGAGTGACTGTCCATTAGCTGTCCTGTACTGTGACGAGAGTTTGTAGTAGCGCTCCGGGGGGGCCGTTTTACCTCTCCCCCTCCCCACCTAAGGAGCAACACTATATGGTAACAGGTTCTTACAGCATTACATACACCACTTACAGCATTACATACACCACTTACAGCATTACATACACCACTTACAGCATTACATACACCACTTACAGCATTTTGACACTGATTAAGCCAAGTCATCAGCTTAACAAATCGCTGGGTTGGCAGAGAGCTAAAAATTTCATATCACATTTTTAATGTGTTTTGTCCAAGCAAATGGGTTTTATCCAGTTCAAAAAGCAGTCAGCCTATTCCAGGAGCAATTGGGGTTAAGAGCCTTGCTCAAGGGCCCAACAGTGAAATCACTCTACTAACTATGGGATTTGAACCAGCGACTTTCTGATCATAAGCACGGCCTCCTAACCCGCCGAGCCACTTATTTCATAAGCTACTAAATTAGCAAATCTTTAAATTTACAGCTTATAAAGCAGAGCACCAGGTAGAAACATATGACTGGAAAGCTGCCCACGAATGGGACTCAAACCTATAACCTCACTCCAAAGAGATGGTGAAAGCAAGGCTGGGTTACCGGGCGAAAGCTGGGTCTGGGGAGCAATAGGGTGAAAGCTGTATGGCCCTCCACAGACGGTCCATCCAGCACTGCCTCAAGTACGCCGAGTCGGCCGCCTGCATCCGGGGAACAAGCACTGGTCACACCTGGTCACCCAGCCACACGAGGGCTGCTCTGAGCAAACGACCTCGCCTTTTCTTCAGAGCAACTCACAGTACAGTGACAGCAGAACCTTCAACTTCATTATGGCCAATAGGCATCCAAACAACACAATCGTTCGTCAGAAACCACTGAAACGTGACCACAGACGTACAGGAAATTCTACATAACGCCCGTCGACCTTCACTTGGCCGTATATGAGCCCCTGTGCTCCTTCAAACAATTACTACAGTCAAACGGCTCTACTCCCAGTTCCTTGTGGGGTATTAGAAAAAAGCAACAGTACGAAACAAAGAATATCATTCATTAGTGGAAGAGAAAATATTTCAAGGATGGTCCACATCCTCAAAGCACATCACAGTCTGTGTTAGTCAGCGTCAGTGCGCGGCTGAGGGGGGTCTCACCAGCAGTTTCTTCTTCCCGTTTTTCAAGCTGATTTCAAAAACATAATGCTTGTTATCATTCCTGTCTATCTCACGCACAGATTTCACCTGAGGTCAACAAAAATATGACTTTCAGCATAAACATCAGGGCATGTCTACAAGGCCTATAGGAAGATAGCCTATACTTTCATACATATTTTTAAATATTAATATATTAACATGAAATACACAGTCATAAAGTCAGCTCCCAATAATAGAGCCTTGAATTTCATATAGTAGATTTGGAGAAAAAAACATTTCAAAGGGTGACTCACTCCACACAAGTCATACCGGCCCTTGAGATGTGTCTAAAAAGACAGAGGAAATAGTTGAGAATCAGACACTGAGTAGAATTTTACATTCAGATCTTCTATTCAAAGTCAACAGTGCTGCAGGTATTTTAGAGACAGGCGGTTTTCAGTTCACTTAGTGAATTTATGAGACTGCTTTGGCTTTTGCTGGAACCCTGTCTTGTATAAATGACTGTAACGCCTTTGCATCCCAGTTATGAGAAACAAATCTACTGAAGGAAGTATCCGCACTAGGGATGGGGCCGGTGCCACACACATCTCGACGCATTGCCGGCGATCCCACACGTTACATATGAAACGACTGTTAATATGATACGATATGATTCACCCCTATTGTAAGGCCGTGCGAATCGATGCGAATTGATTTGACACAATTTAATTCAGTGCCACATGATGCGACGCAAAAGAATGTGATGTTATGCAAGTCAACATGGGGCAGATCATTTGACAGCGGTAGAGAACTGGAGATGAGACAGAAACAGTTTCGAGAGGGACAAACGATCTAAATATACAGTAAAACTGTCAATTAATTATTGGGCACATTTTAAATAATAAAGGGTCTCTACTAATAATTACATGGTAATGAATCAGATGTTACCGATGCAAATATGTTCGAAAAGACGCGTCCTGTGTTCATCCCAATTGTGTCCAATGCACACTTATTTAATTGCGGCAATCATATCGTGAACTTGTATGCACCGATGTGAATCTGTGAGTCTTATCATCCCTAATCTGGACAATCTGACACATTCAGACTCCAATAGAACTACTTACGGAATACTCATTCTTCTTCGTATAGAAGCTGAGACACGTGCTCTCCAGGCGAAACAAGTATGTAACCCACTTCAGCTTCTAAAGACAAGGAAAAACTTTTGCATTAGGGTTACAAGGAGGTTGGTCAGCAACAGTTAGCTCACATTTGTAGCACAGTAGGGTCAGGGTCCAGTCGGCTTTTTGGGGGCTTTCTGGACAGATGCAGGTGACTAAGGAGCAGGAAGAGTGGAATGGGGAACGTCCAGCACAAACTGGAATCTGACTTTGGCCAGAGTCCCATAACTAATCCCTGAGGACAGGAAAGCACTTGGTCCCTGAGACAGCAGGACAATTTCAACTTTCAGATGTTTTAAAGAAAAACTGACATGAGGAGGACCCCCCCCCCCGCAAATTTTTTAAGTGAAAGATTTTTTTGTAACACTTTACTTGCGGGGGCACAAATAAGGTAGCAAACTGCCCTTACTTAATGTACATAAATTAACCACAAACTACGTGTTAGGTACTGGTCCCATGTTCATTCATCATTAATTAATCATTCATAACACTTCATAAATTTCATGCATCAACTGTATTTGTTCATGATTTGTACTTCAACAGTAACCGAGTTAAGTTACTTGTGTCCCCTCAAGTGTCACCAGATATTTTTTTTTTATTAACAAAAAAAGACTCACCATCTTATCCCTTCTCTTCCTCAAAAAGCCCTCAAACAGCAGCTCGTGATCCCCAGTCGACATTTCCAGATCGGCCTCCCCCAACTGTCCGCACTGGATGCCGGCTGTCCGCACTGGATGCCGGCGTGCCCCCCATCCCCGTTTTGAGGTGTGACACTTCTCCTTTCTCGCTGACGACGCCTCCAAACAGTCACTGTTCAGCCTTATCCAGAAGTCTCACTTCCTACATCCAGCACCTTCAATCATCTGCATCATTCCTTCCAGATAACTTGCTCTCACCTACAATCACGTTCGTGTGCCACGGAGAGCAGGACACACACAAAGTCTGGAAGGAATTAAGAGACTAATTCCGGGCTCAAAGTTTCTAAGACCACAGTACACAAGAAGAAGGTGAAGCAGGAGATATGGGCAATAACTAATAACCAGGCAGGTAAAGGGCAGAAGGAACTATCTAATGCCAGAGATGACCGTCAACTTATCCGGCAGCGTCTCATAAATCAGAGGATGACCTGAAGTGACCTCCAAAAATAAAGAAGCAGGACTGAAGACCAATAAAGCCCTTCACTAATGAGAAGCCAGGAAGAGCCAGGCTGGAATTCACAAAAAAAATGTGTTTTACATAGGTGTATACCCATAGATTGGGTGATGAGTGAAACTGAAATTTTTTCTATTTTTCCAGAGCTGGGGGTGTGTGCGTGTATATATATCCCATTTGAACAAATGCTAAATAAGTCGTACAAACTTAAGGGATAATATCAGGTGTATATATAGCAGAGCTGACAGCAACCATTAATTAAAATCTGTTTTGGGAACCGATGACTGCAGAACCGCCATGAACCCATGAGCTTAAGTTCTCAGTGAGGGAACGCTGTTCAGTCCAGGACATATTTCGTTCTGCGTTCCCACAGCCCAGACTGGCGGCATAAATCGGCAAATGATATTCGAGTGAGACTCATGGGCAGGTGTACAGAATGTGAGCCAAGACTCCCAAACCAAAGGAACACCTGGGCTATGCAATGACACACACCAGGGAAAGGTGCACTTAGGAGAGCAGCCAAAACTTGTGACAGGAGTGAAAATGTCACCGCGAAACAAACAAAAAAAAAAAAAGCACAGGATTCATGACAGCACACACTCATTTATTGTACTGCTGCAACAATACAAAGTGATAAAAAGGCCCAAAGACTGCGGGCACACAGTGTGTGGTGGCGACTGACATTAAACGCAGAAAAACACCAAAACGGAGGCTGGACATCAGCAAACATGGCGAACGTCCAGCGTTAGGGCTATGGGGGGGGTCACTCGCTCGAGGAACTGGGGCCGTGCTGGTAACACGGGTGACTGGTTCAGGCCCACAGCTCAGAGCAGTAGTATGATGATGCCAATACTGCCCCCCCCCATGTAGGGAGGGAGGAGTCACAGGCAAGCGGAAAAAGCAAATGTAACGACCACCTGATGTTAAAGCCAGACGGCTGGCCAGGAAAAATATATACATATTAATACCTGAAATGTCTTCATACAAGTCAAATAAATAAGGTTAAATTAAAACTGATAACAGGATGTTACTTCAAAATTTAAATTAAAAAAGCCAAAAGAAAATACATTCTGGATATGAAAAAGAAAAAAATACTGACAAGTGACTATGGCTTTGGTTAAACAGTTCCTCACGAGAGCCGCTCTTCAAAAATCAGCCACCGTCTGTCCTACTTCCAAATCATAGCGCCATTAATCTGTACACTTATATACACACTCGCATTCGGCTGACTAAGGTTAGACTTCCTGTGTGGGACACAGGAAGGACATGGGCACCTTACAGCGAACATCAAACGGACAAACGCCCCCCCCCCCCCTCCGGAACGGGGGGTTGCCATGAAAATGCAGCCAGCGCCCAAGGGCAAAATTCAACTACTAGACCACAGCCGCAGGCAGGTATGTCCAATTCACATATATGTGTGTGTGTGTGTTATAGAGTTACGTATGCATGGTATTTAATTAAGTAAAAACATCATATGGCAGGATTGCGTCTGGGCGGTCATCGATGTTTAAGTAGAGCCTTGTAGACGGCGAATCCGAAGACGGCGAAAACGGTGGCACCCAGGCTGGCCCTCAGCCAGAAGGTGGAACTCTTCATCTCGGCTTGGGTCACATGCCTGCAGGGGAAAAGGTTAAAGGGGAAGTTACACCCGACTGTGGCACCACACCAATGAAGGGAGGGGCGGCGGCAGCCAGCATGTGAGGTCTGACAAGCATAACGAAGGGGCCGTGCATTTTAAGCAGCCTACCAACGTATTAGCAAACCGGAACCCAGGTTCTAGTATGTTAATCAACAGAATACACATCAAAAAAATATAATCAATAAAATATAACCAACGAAATATGATTACACTTCTTATTTTTGGTCTCTCTGGAAAGCTCTCCGAACTGTCCAGAGCATCAATTTTTAGTTTTACAAACTCACGTCAGGCATTTAACGGAAATATTTCCAAAGCATAACAACAGTAACACCTTCCTCAATGAAGACGCCCAACAATCCAAATAATGTTAGCTGTACTCGCGTTTGTATTGATTGCTGTAAGAGGAAATGACGTCTACCTTTGATGTGTAGATAGTTTCCTGCCAAGGAAACTGATGGTTCTTTGATTTGCTTACAAGTTGCACACATACCAAAAACAGTGCATGTAATTCACCTTCACAAACAAATGGCTGAATCCCCTAAATCCGACTCTAATCCGACTCCTGACTTATGAAGCCCGGCTGCGAGACCGGCAGACCGAGCGTGTCAGGACATCCGAACCCCGCCACACCCGGGTCCGACACCAAGCTTCCCGCTGGCCAATGACATTCCCCACAACCAGCTGTTATCCATATGAGAGCATTCAGAAGAGACCAATTAAACACCGAAGAATCAGTTACTGATACAAGGCGACACGCAGGGGTTAGACAGCGCGCTGCACCCACCAGTCCCGCCCTCGCAGACCCCACCCACAGTTACCTGGACACAAAGGGGTCCACAGACGACTCCATGTAGATGGACTCCTCTACATGGACAACGGGGTGAACCTGCTGCGTGAGGCTGGACTCCTGATCAGCCAGCAGAAAGGCACCTAGCTCGTCCAGACAGGGTCTCAACCTTACACACGTGCGGGTACACGTACACGTACACGCACACACACGCACACACACACACACACACACACACACACACACACACAGGGCGGTTCAGCAGCCACGCTCACCTGGGTGACCCACTCCAACCCAGCGAGCGACACACACCACACTGCAAGCTCAAGAAGTCTGCATCCGTGATTATCATCATTGATCATCATCATCATCATCATCATCATCATCATCATGGCAGAGACACACAATCTGAGCCAGGCACGGAAGACCGAACCTGGGAGGTTTCCCCACTTAAGGGGGAGAGCAGCATCCCAGATCGAACCCGAGTCCTTGGTTTAGCAGCATGCATTCCAAAATAGCGCTACCCCCCCTCCCAAAAAAGCATTTAAGTAGCTCAGACTTCGGGGTTAATGGATCCAGGGTCAGAGGAAGTCTTAAAACGGGACATTCCCTGGTTGGCCGCTGAATGTGCACCACGCTCACCAAAACCACAGCTTCAGTTTCACACCACCCACACTAGTTGTATACTGGTTTCGAAGTGACACAATCCCAGCTTTGTATTCCTGTAGACATCCCCTGTCTGTGACCCTCCCAAACCCTTGAGAAAATAAAAACCAGTATGCTAAAACCAATCAGTCAAAGTTTAACCGTGATATTAGCATTAGATCCAATCTCACAAACACTGCTCCCCCCCCCCCAAAAAAAAAAAAAAAAACTTTAAAAGCTTATCAAAAGCGCAATCCATCCGCAGCCCAACTTCTCGTCAAGCCACATTGCAAGGTCTGCCGACATTACAGCAGTAATTTAGACCCAAATGTAGAAGAACCACTTACACTTGAGGTTTTTTACTCAAAGAAAACTGTGGTTTTCAAAGCGGGAATGCACCATGCAGGCAGGGAAGGTACCGGAGAACAGAGGGGCGCTTAACGTGGGGAATGTTACTACAGGCATGGGGTTTAAAAATCAGCAGCACAATGTTAAAGGCAAAGGAGAGCGTAGAACCCTAATCAGCAGGAGGCAAAAACATGCATCAGTAAGAGAGACAAAGCCATCCAGAGATAAGAAAATGAAGACCTACAAGGGAAAGAAAAAAAAATGAAATGAGTACAGAATGAAAGAGCGCAGCAGACAGACAGACAAACTGTTCTTTGTTTGGCCTGTTTAGCTGTGTTAAGCAGAGGAGGGGCTTTTAAAAAACACACACACACACGGAGCGGAGCCCAGGAAGGGGAACGGCGATGTGGAAAGCCCCCAGTAATTCCCCCGGCCTGAAAAAAGGCCCCCTCCCACAGGTTGGTGCTTTAGACAGGCGAATCCACCCACACACACACACAGCTTAGCTGGAAGCACAGGAAACACAAACTAATGACACCTGCAAACAAACACCGACGTTTCATACCAAGGGGGGGCGGGTCAGCCAGACATCTAGGGGTGCACAAACATGTATGAGGTTTACAGTGATAAATGCGACCAACGTCACATATTGACACACTGCATATCCACTTCACCATACTTAGTCAAGATCATAATTACACCATAGCACCAGATATGCCTCTTTATAAAGAAGATGATTCACGTCAGTTCAAAATAAACATGCGAATAGCCGTCATTCCCGGAAAACGGAACGTTAAAATGGAAAAGACATCTGCAGTCACTGCGTCTCTCTAACGCCATCCAAACTTCACTGCAGTCACTGCGTCTCTCTAATACCATCCGAATTTCACTGTAGTCACTGCGTCTCTCTAATACCATCCGAACTTCACTGCAGTCACTGCGTCTCTCTAATACCATCCGAACTTCACTGCAGTCACATGTTCACCCTCCTGAGCCACAGTGATGCAGTGTTAAAGGGTTTGAGGAACTGACTTGACAGCAGCAGTTCTGCAAAAGGGCCAGCAAGGGGCAGAGAAGCAAATAGTTTGGACCAAAAATAATAATAATAATAATAATAATAATAATAATAATAATAATAAAAACTAAACAACGGGAACTGCAAGAAACGGGATAGAGGCAAGTGCATCTACATATTAAAAAAAAACCCTATATTCATAAATACCGGTCTTAGAATTTGCCAGCTTTTTTTGTCAATAATCCTTCCGAATGAGAAATTTACTCAAAGTCCCCTGGTGGATATGCAGTGCGAAGCTGTCAGGTGACACTGAGCAGGACATGTTAAGAGGTTAGGCATGTGTTAGACGGCCTTCTCGGGGCGTGAGGGCACCCAGAGGCAGAGAGAGAGTGGACCTGTTCGTCACTGCGCTGTAGAGTGTGCTCTTTACACGCTGCAGCATCTCTGAGCGCAGCAGCTTCTGACAGATGCAAAACGTGCACCTGTTACAGCTGCACATGCAGCTTAACTGGCCGTGGCTGCGGAGACACAGAGGAAGAGGTGGTCAGGGCTGCCTGCGGTGCGGTGCGGCACGGGCCGAAGACAGGGGTGACGAGACCCTCGCAGTGCGGACACACCCTGCCATAATCTACACATGGCTTTAACGGATCCCACAAAATTCAGTGATTACAGACCATAACTCTTATTATTTTCCTTTGTTATTAACCTCTAAAACAGCGGCTGCATGCTAGACAGAAAGGAAGTGATGTAATGAGCAGCAGGCTATACAAAGAGGAAGTGATGTAATGAGCAGCAGGAAACGCATCATTCGGTACAGCTGGCCTTGCGTCGGGCTCCAACGCGCTGCAGTTGCGGGGGTTGGGGAACCGTTTTGGGGGACGCTGGAGCCCTGCCGTGGGGGAGGGGGCTGACGGCGGAGGGCACACTCACGGGTACATGGCCTTGGTGGTGAGCTTGGTATAGATGTCGCGGCTGGGCGCTTCGGCCGTGTTGCAGGTGAAGCGCTGGGGGGCGGGCAGCTTGTGCTTCCTGCAGAAGTCCAGCGGAGACAGGCTGTACTGCTGCCGCACCTCCGGCAGGTCGGCCTTGGCCCCCACCAGCAGGCACGGCGTCCGGCTGTCCATGAAGTGATTCTGCGGGAGCGGAGGAGCCCTTATCATCTGGGAGTCCCGTGGACTAGGGTGGGAAACTCTACTCATACTATGTATTCATACTAAGGCGAAGAAACATATGACTGACACAAGTGAGGTCCATAAAGAATTTCTACAATACCGATTACATAACTGCACTATATGAATTCATTCATGCATTACAGTACACAGGCAGACATAACTATATTTATAATGTATACATATAAATCACAGAATAGATCACCTCTGTCGTGCTGGAGAAAAGCAGCTGGTGAATGACTGAATGTAAATGTGATCTTAAGCGGGACGGGGGACGGGGGGGGGGCAGTTATGGCGGAGCAAGCGGCACCTTGTAGAGCCTCGCGCAGAACTCGAAGGAGCGGGGATTGCTGACGTCGTAGAGCAGGCACACGACATCACAGGAGAGGTCGGTCTCAGACAGGAAGTCGGTGTCCGGAAGGACCTCGTGCAGCTGAGATGAAGGGTGAAGGATGAAGGCGGGAGAGGGGTCAGGGGGGGTATTTGGGCACGTGTCTAGGAACACTATGTCCTTTGTGTGGGGGGGGGGGGGGCAGGCAGAGCAACCCCCTTCACAAATGCATTTTAATAATTTAATGTGATTTAACATGAAATATGTACTATATAGATAAAAATATTGTGACACCTGGCCATTACACCTACAGGAACTTCTATGACATCACATTCTAAATCCATAGGCATCAGTATGGAGCTGGTCCATACAGCTATAACAGCTGCCACTCTTCTGTGAAGGCTTTCCACAAGATTTTGGAGTGTATCTGTGGGAATTTTTGCCCATTCATCCAGAAGAGCATTTGTGAGGTCAGGTACTGATGTTAGACGTGAAGGTCTGGCTTGTAATCTCAGTTCTAGTTCGTCGCAAAGATCTTTGATTGGGTTGAGGTCAGGGCTGTGTGTGGGCCAGTCAAGTTCTTCCACACCAAACTTACCCAACCATGTCTTTATGGACCTTGCTTTGTGCACTGGGGCACAGTCATGCTGGAACAGAAAAGGGCCTTCCCCAAACTGTTACCTCAAAGTTGGAAACATAGGATTGTCCAAAATGTCTTGGTATGCTGAAGCATTAAGAGTTCACTGGAACTAAGGAGCCCAGCCCAACCCCAGAAAAACAACCCCATACCATTATCCCTCCTCCACCAAACTTTACAGTTGGCACAATGCAGTCAGGCAGGTAACATTCTCCTGGCGTCCGACACACCAAGACTCGTCCATCAGACGTGTGTGCACGATTTATCACTCCGTAGAACATGTTTCCACTGCTCCAGAGTCCCGTACCTAAACGCTTCCACTGTGCAACATTATTATTTACAGCTGATCGTGGAATATCTAGCAGGGAAGAAATTTCACAAACTGACTTTTTGTAAAGGTGGCAAACTGTACTGTAGCTCTTCAGAACGACCCATTCTTTCACAAATGTGTGTAAACCTGATTGCAGGCCTAGGTGCTTGATTTTATACACCTGTGGCAATGAGTCAATGAAACACCTGAATTCGGTTATTGAGATATTGTCCCAATACTTTTGTCCATGTAATAAGACTGCGTATTGTTCTTTTAATATGGCACTGACTGAAAAGCCAATGCAACAGTTCTCTGTCTTAGATGCATGGATTTCATGAGTCACCAATCAGCTCCATGTCTTTCTGACATGACGTCATATGCACTATTGCCCAGTGGCACTTAATACCCCCAGGCTGGCCCTGCCAGGGAGGACGGCTCACACTCACCAGTAAATACTTCTCCTGGCCGTACACGTAAGCCGTGCTGATGGCATAGTACGATTTGTGCTCGTGCCTTATCTTCTGACGCTGAAAGACAATGCATTTAAATGTATATTAAACACTGGCTTCACTCCCCATAACTCTGAAACCCACGATACCCCCCCCCCCCAACCCCAGAGTTTGGTTATTTAAAGCTCCGATGCAAAGCCCCCCCATTCTGTGGTATTTTAAAACAGTTTCTCAGCTCGCAGGTAGGGGCACCTCGAAACTGCCTAGCCAGCGACGCGAGGTGTGTGGACCGGGCCGGGCCGCGATCAGGACGTGGTGGTGAGCTCTCACCATGAGGTTCCTGCCCAGAAAGCCCTGCAGGAAGCCGCTTTTGCCGCTGCCCCGGGCCCCAAACACGTTGCAGAGGAAGACGTTGCGTTGGGTCTGCTTCTTCTGCAGGTCGATGCGTTTGTTACGCGTGACTGTGGTTATGGGGGAGGGAGGGGGGGATGAGTTCTGAAGCTCTGGTATGAAGAGGCAACAGCGCACAGACGCCCACACACACACAAATGGAAATAAAAACAGAGAGAGGGAGGTAAACTCACTCACACACACACATCTTTGTGGGGACCAGCCATTCATTTCTATGGGGAAAAACCATAATCAACAATGACAACCTTAACCTCTACCCAACCCTAACTTTAACCATAAGTAATCAAACCACAGACTGGCATTTTTAGCTTTTAAAAAGTAGTCTCATTTGTGAGGTCCAAAATATGTCCTCACAGGGACCAAATGTCTTCACAATGTAACATATACATGACTCCCCACACAGACAGACACACAGCCCTCTATGTCACCTGTGAGGGCAGCAGCCTGGGACTCTTGCTCACAGAGGATCGGGTAACCAAGATAGCCCAGGTACTCCAGGCATCGCTGCACATCCAGGTAGGTGGTTAACCTGCCAGTGGTCAGAGATCAGGTGAATCACCTAAAAGCCACCTAAAGAGCACCCTCTTGAGTACAGACCGAATAAGGCCTCCGCACTCACGTCCACTGTGACAGGTATCCCTGGTAGGTGATCCAGCCCTGCTCGTTGGTGCACACTGTGTTGTTGACGTCGGGGCCCCAGGGCATGTAGGGGAAGACGGAGAACAGGTCCTTCAGCTCGTCGGGAGACAGGGCACAATCCCGGTCCTGGACGATAGCAGAGGCTTCAGAGTGGCTCGAACCGGGAGCCACCATTCAGAGGGAGGGGTTTCCCAGGAGTTGACCAGAAGAGTAACTCCATAAGACAGGCAACCTCTTACCTCCTAAGAACACGGCACCCAGCAAAAGAATTTTTTACACATAAACCAAAAAAAAAAAAAAAACTGACTCAGACTCATTTAGCAAGTAAAGCAACCTGCTATCAAAAATGACCTGGAGGAGACTGAGTCCTGGCTGCACTGACGACAAGACACGCACGGCGCCCCCTGCAGGCGGAGCCCCGGGGCTCACCTTGTCATGCTTGTCAAACACACTCTGGAGGAACAGGTAAGCGTTGTGGTTCAGCTCCGTGGTGCAATCCGGGGGGATTTTCAACCTAGGAGCAGCGAAATGGCACCGTGAACCCGCGTATGAAGCGGAAAATCCAACCAGCTAACGGGAATTTCTCAAGATAGATCATACGGAGACCAAATACAGCATCTCATTTAAAATTACAGCATCTTCCTTGGAAATAATGCAGCAACTGTTTAAAAACGTGTTTTAAATGTATTTACCAAGAACATTAAATCACAGCCCAAAACAAAAACTTTTCTTAATTCACAAATCCAACACCTTAACAACTAGGCCCCCTGGTGGTGACACTCGTGTGATTTCCCACAAGCAAACCTCATCTGACGATCATTTAAAGAGCATCTGAAATTCCAAAAATTCCCTCTTTTCTTGGGTTTCACTGTTTGTACACTGCCTCCATAACCATTCAGATACAACCAGCCACTTACAGTAGATAAGGAGGGTTTGTGGGAGACGACAACTAACCGGTGTGAGGGATGTACTCACGGTGGAAAGAGGTACTCCTGTGTGAGCTCGAGGTCATCATCATAACCGAACCTCCGCAGCACGGTCCACGTGGTCTCATGCCGGCCCCTCTGGATGAAGAGGGTGTGCAGAAAGTGGAAACCTACCAAGGAAGCAATTATGACTACATCATATGAGTACGGTCACCCATGTTGGCCACGCCCATATATGGAAAGCCACACCCACCAAAAAGTGGGCCACTCCCACATGTAAAAACCACACCTACTCCACAAACTGCACACACCCATAAATGGAAGCCATACAGCCCTGGCCACACAGCTCAGGATGAACCATGAATTCCAGCAGGTCAGTTCTGGTCCTGGACAACTGAAGCTTATTCAAGTCTATATTAAGCACCTCAGGCTCCATTGCTGATAGTAAAGGCTTGTTTAGTTCAAACATGAAGCTGCCCAGTATGGAATGGAATGGAAAGGACCCCCCCCCCACCCTACACCCGAGTCTCCCCCCAGCTCACCCTTCAGCGTGAGTCCATTGTCTTGCACCCCGTCTGCCATGTTCCGCCTCACAACATTCTTCACATCCTCCAGAGCCTGAGGAGCTAGCGGGGTGTTGAAGCACGTTCGCTGCACAGACACAAGAACCGTCACGAGTGCCAGGTCACCAACACGTGGGAAATACTGCTATATATTCATTTGCATCCAAACACGAAGACTGCGGACGCCTGTGAGTGTAACACGTGTCAAGCGTGAGTGTCGAGCTCCTACCTGGAAGAAGTTGAGCTCGAGGTCACTGAGGAGGCCATCGTTGTCCATGTCGGACACTTTGAAGATGCGAGTCAGGGCTTTCACACATGCTGCCTTCATCTGAGGAAAAACAACAGCGCCTTCAGACCAGGTCAGCAGTAAAACGCCGCAGAACAGCAGAGTGCTGTAGGGCACCGATGTACCTCCTTCTCCTCCGGACAGTACAGGGGTCCTGTCGGGTGCAGGACTGCCTTCTGAGCATAGTAAAACAACTCGGAAATGTTCTTCAGGGTTTTCGCAGAACACTGAAAAATAAAAACCACATGCACACTGGTGCTTTAACAGTTCATTTCTGCAACAAAATCGACAGCAGGGATCTTATATTAGTTGGGTTTCTTAAAACTGGCTACAATAAATCTTACTTTTATACAACAAATCAACAACAGATCTTAAGATTTACCTGATCTTGTTTTAGAATGTCATTAACAGCAGAGTTAGAAACAAATGAAGGTTCAGTGTCTATCGTAAACGGTGGAGAGTAGAGGTCGACCGATATATAGGGCTGATATTTGGCTTTTTTTTAATGCATCAGCATCGGCCGATATCTGAGTGCTGTACGCCGTTTTACAGACAGGCACGTCTGCGGGCAGCCCAGTGTTATTGTTGCTGTGGAACACATGACCCATACTGCCTTGTGCAAGACCCCAGCCAGAAGAGTCCTGGGAGAAAACGGTAAGGCTTAAATTCTGATCTTTCAAAAGACCTATTTATTAAAATGGTTTGCTATGAAATGTTGCTTTAAAAGAAAACGTGAACACTTTTGAAAGAGAACGCGAATTACGCTGTCGGGAACTGGCGTAATGATAATGAGCCTTCAACCAACTGTAGCCTACAGGTAACATTAAGGATCATTGATTCTGACAGAGTTAGTTTTGTGCGCTTGTTGGTGGGCTCACACACGGTTTTTTAATCGTTAAAAATCATTTTAATTAAACATAAAAATCAGAAATGAGGAGTTTGCTGCTATATTGTGCACTAAAAGATTCTGATGCTGCTATTTTTATTGTTTATAAGTTTTTGTTTACAAGTTGTATTGTGTTTTTGTTAAGTTTATATTTTAAATTTACACAAGTCAGTATTCAATAAATGCCAAGTTGAGAAATTCTGTGTATTGTTTGCTATTATTAGTGTTATATTTTACCATGCAAATAGAGGGGAAAACGTCCAATTATCGGCCAAATAAAAAATCGGCAGCATATATCGGCATCGGATATTGAAAATCCCATATCGGTCGACCTCCAGCGGAGAGCGACTGGGCTGGACAGGCTCTGGGCATCGGGCCTCACCTCCACACACGTCTCGATCTCGCTGTACTGATTCATGATGGGCAGGATGGTGTCCATGCTGCTGTGCTCCACCAGGTCCGACTTGTTCCCCACCAGGATTAGGGGCACCCTGTCCCACCACATCCCGGCCCAGACACACACAATCCCAATATAAACGAGCAGCAGACAGCCAGGCCCCTAAAGCACCTCACAGCTCGAGATCCGCACAGGTGCTCTGCTCACACTCACTAGAGGCGGGTCCACAACCCCTCACCACAACAGTACGATGTCAGGCAGGGGGGCCGTCTCCCCTCACCTACCTGCTATCTTTGTCTGTTCGGTCCGCAATGAGGGGAATCCAGTGACTGGTGACCTGCAGGACAAAACACAGAAAAACAAAAAAAAATATGCACAATCGTTACACTTTAAACTACTGACAAACCTAGGAAGCTGTACAACACCGATTGCATGAGACAAGTGCACAATTCCATGCTGCAAATGAATTATTAATCATTATTCATAAAGGCCCACCGGCTCACTTGGGACACCCTGGACTCACCCTCTCAATGGACTTCTTGTTATTGACAGCGTACACTATGCATATTACATTAGCCTGCAAAATGAGAACACATTCAACCATCTTGCAGTTCAATGGGAAAACACCAGTATATGTGATTTTATCCTATAAAAAAAACTCACCTTTGATATTTCCTGGAATAACTGTTCATCTGACTGTTCTGCTTCTATTCATGCAGGAGAGAGTGAAAGTAATATTAAAAGCCAATTCTACCAGCTTGATTCTCAGCCCCCTCTCTCTGGGGCTATCAGACGAGGCTCGCGTACCTGAATAGTCCACTATATGTGTAGGGACTCTCTCCGGGGTGACGTCAGCGGGAATCGTGATCTCTTCGGCTCGCGGAGGAACCTGCTCCACAGTCACAAAACGCGGCTATAATTAGATATTTTAAAAGCCATCAAAACAGCTGTCAAGGCCAGAAACGCTAGGAAACACAGGGGAATGAATCCTAATTCCATAATTACATAAACTTAAACAGTCCATGTTTCTACTAGTCAAGCATTGCCGGTTAATAATTGAAGCCAGCTATAACGGTAATACTGTGCAGCTGGAAGACATGCAAGAGGATGCGGTACCTCATCAGGAAACTCCTCGCTGACCAGGGACATGATCAAAGATGTCTTGCCCACTTTGGCTGTGAAGAACAGTGTGTACTTGAATACAATGCGTAACGTGATTACCAGATCGTTTAAATTTTGCTGTGTAGTTCTCGCAGATTTTAAGGTTTAAATAGAGCCTGCGTCTAGATTTAAGCACTTCTAAATAACTGTTCTGTACAACTGCTAAACGTTTGATAACATTGCAACCATGGATATTGCATTTCCACGCTAAGCAATTAATGGACCTCAAATATATTGCTAGTGAACTATTTAGGACACCAGATTCTCACCATCTTAAAGACTAAAATAGTATTAATAGACAAGTGCCAGAAAGGCAAAACACGGAACAGACAATTTAGCCCTGAGCCCAGGGACACGAAACCGGGCCCAGACGGGTGCAATGTGTGCGACAGAGGCAAAGGACGCTAAGATGACAGAATCACGGCCACTCTAAGTGTGATTTACAGCACCACGCTATTACAGGGAGAAGCAATACCGACGTCAAAAATTAACAACAGAAAATGGCTGAAGAACTTCTCATTTATAAAACACTATAGCAAATCAAAGACAGCGTTTTATTACTACTCCAAAATATGCAGTACATAAATGATATACAAATATATGAATCCCACCCAGTAGTTTAACTACGAATATACTGCAATATATATTGCTTCACTAAGCTGTTGTAAAAGAGAAAACAATTTACAAATGCACAATGGACTAACGCAATGTCAGTATTGCTTTACTGTGCAGTTACAATGCCTTTCCTAAATGCAGTAATGCAGAAACCATCTATTCTCATACTGCATGACACCTGATTAACTATAAGTACTTACGTTCCCCCACTAGTAATATCCGGACGTCCTTCCTCATTATGTCAGCGGTTATGTATTAAAGGATTTGTAAAATATCGTGAAATCTTGGCACATTAAAGGTGATCCGCGCCGTTCATTGGGTCTGTCACACTGACCCCCGTTCTATCAGGCCCTGCGCTATTCACTTCCAAGCGCTTATGAAGGGATCGCCCTGTAGGACAAAACGGACATGGTCTCCTCCGTTCTTCTCTATTCCTTAAATTGCTTTCTTTCACAGAATGCACACATAAAATCACTTGCGATACATGCATCTGACGGTTTCTGACTAAATTCTCCCTTGCAGCACGTATAACTGCCAAAGCATGTTAATTTTTACGACATTCTCGTTTCAGTCTAAGAAACCCCCGCCTCCCCTTGCTGACCTTCGACATACCGGCATCTACGGCTCCCTCGGAAGGACAAACTTGTGAAACCGCAGCATGGGAAACGCGAATTGTCAAAAAAAAAAACACAGTTGACGTAAAATATTTGGAATCCATTATTTAAATATCAAGTGCAGAATTAAAGGTGTATTTCTATAAATGTATGAATGTATCAATTCATTTCTAAGAATGTATTTCTATGAGAGGGGATAACATGGTAGACCTTGTTTACACAAACATTCAGCATGCATACAAGGCTGCACACGTCCCCCACCTCGGACAATCAGACCACATCTCCATACTGAGCCTACAGGCCCATCAACAAGCAGATCAGACCAGCACTGAGAGAGGTGAGAACGTGGCCACAGGGGGCCACATCTGCCCTTCAGGACTGTTTCAACTGCACAGACTGGGATATGTTCAGAGAAGCTGCCACCTACGAACACAAACTGGACTCAACCTCAGTTACCAGCTACACCAGCAAGTGCATTGAGGATGTCACTGTCTCCAAGACTGTCTTCATCCGTGCAAACCACTGCATTGAGGATGTCACTGTCTCCAAGACTGTCTTCATCCGTGCAAACCACTGCATTGAGGATGTCACTGTCTCCAAGACTGTCTTCATCCGTGCAAACCACAAACCCTGGTTCTCTGCAAAGCTACACACACTCAGGGAGGCTTGTCTCGGACCATCAAAGAGGCAAAGCGGGTGCATGCAGAGAGGATCATCACACTTCACAAGTTCAAAGGACACATGGCGCATGTGGCAGGGCATTCAGACCATCACAGGCTACAAGCCAACGCGTGTGGCGTGCGGCAGTGAGTCCTCCGTGCCAGATGAACTGAATGACTTTGCACGTTTTGAGGCAGAGAACATGGAACCAGCAAGGAAGATGACTCCCTCCCCCAAAGATCAGGTACTTCAGCTTTTTACAGCGGATGTCAGGATGACCCTCTGCAGAGTGAACCCGCGAACGGCTGCAGGGCCTGACAACAGCTTGCAGACATCTTCAATGCATCACTGCGCTCAGCCGCGGTACCAGCTTGCCTCAAAACCACCGAAATCATCCCGGTGCCAAAGAAGTTTGCAGATGACACAACAGTAGTAGGTCTCATCACCAATAACGATGAGTCTGCGTACAGAAAGGAGGTAAAACACCTGGTGGACTGGTGAGAAAATAACAACCTATCTCTTAATATTCAGAAGACTAAAGAGATGGTTGTTAACTTCAGGAAGAGTCTGGCGAGCCCACACCCCCACTGCACATCAACGATTCCACTGTCGAAATAGTCCGCAGTGTGAAGGTCCTGGGTGTGCACATGGCAGACGACCTTTCCTGGAACCCGAACACCACCATCGCAGAGAGAGCCCAACAACGTCTTCACTTCATTCGAAAGCTGAAGAAGGCCAGCCTCCCTCCTCCCATCCTCACGTCATTCTACCAGGGGACCATCGAGAGTGTCCTCTGCTGCTACGTCACTGCCTGGTATGGAAACTGCACCGCCGCTGAAAAGACGTCCCTGCAGTGGACAGTGAGGACAGCAGAGAGCGTCATCGGGGTCCCTCTCCCTGCCATCTCCCACCTGTACCAAAAGCACATCATCCGTCGTGCGAACAGCACAGTGAAGGACACTTTCCACCCCTCACATGCACTGTTCTCTCTTCTGCCGTCTGGTAGACGGTTCCGCAGCATCAGAACTGTAACTGCCAGACACTGCAGGAGCTTCTTTCCTCAAGCAGTCAGAGCTCTCAACGCACTGCCACCAAAGGAACGTTAAACCCACAACACAAACATTACAAACTAGACTTTCATACACTGCCAAATTTGCACATGTAATAACTGGCACGTCTTTGTCTTGTCAAAAATATCCTGCCATACTTGAATCTGGTATTTAAAAACTACCTGCACACTTAACTCGAATAACTGCACATGACCACTTTGTACTGTCTCTGTCAAGTTTACTGTACATAGATAGATAGAACTAGTTTCTGTTCTTAAAAATTTACTTAGATTTATTTATGTGAAATTTCTGTTTTAAATTTTTTATCTTTATAGTGTACCATGGGGGACCTGTGTGAAACGACCCTGTATACTGTGTATATTGTTGTATTGACAATAAACCAAATCTTAATCTTAATTTATCATATGATAACTGTCTATTCCTTTATTAGCAGTGTATTTTCCAAACAGGTTGGCTCAGTAGATAATAATGTTGTTTCACACTTAAAATGCAGAGCTGTCAAATGCCACCAGCACTCAGTACAGGGTTGCCAGCTCTCCCGCATCTGGCCTGATACTCACGCTTTCAGACTCTCACACTCACACAAGAAGCCTTACTGCAAATCTATATTATTCCATTATAAACATAAAACTGGCTGCATCAAAACCATTGGGGTAGTTTGCAAATTCAACAGACTATCTACAAGGTAATAAAACTGCTACATACATGTGAATTCGTGTGCATGTGTGTGCAGACATGTTTAGAATTAAAAATCTCACTCCAGGAAGCTGATCGAAGTTTGCAACCCTGCATCCATCCATTTTCCAAACCTGCTTATCCAGCACCGGACACAAGACACCCTAAATGGGATCCCAGTCCATCACAAACCATCCCACGTACGTTTCTTTACATTCTTTCCAATTATTCTCATAAAAATGACCAAAATCCCAAAAACTGATCTCTCAATAATTGATTTTTACGTACGAATGTGAGAACGTAAAATTTCAAAGAAACAAAAGAGTATACGGGTCTAAACATGGATTAGATACAGTTCAGTCACAGTTCATAGTTCTCTGCCAGATGAGCTTTGATGTGGTCAAAAAACCGTATCCCTCCGCCATCTGCTAAGACTCCTCACTTCTTTGTTCTGACTACTAGAACAGTATCCCTACTCCCTTCTGGTATATCTAGGTCTTCATAATTAATTGCCAAAACATAACATACACTCACCTAAAGGATTATTAGGAACACCATACTAATACGGTGTTTGACCCCCTTTCGCCTTCAGAACTGCCTTAATTCTACGTGGC